AAAAAAAAAAAACTTGTCCTATTTTATTGACAAATACTACAATGCTACTATTTTTTAACTAAAAATTCTTAATTTTATTTGTACACTTATATAAAAGTCTTCTTTCTTGTTGTTTGCTTTTCAGCACTACAGATTTGCTTAGTTGAATGTATAAATATTAGCCAAATTTATAGAAACTTTAATTTTCTAATCAAAAATTTTCAACCAACATTTGTTAGCTCTCCAAATAACAGTCAAAAATCTAAATAATTTAGGACAATTGAAAACAACAGAAGTAAAAATATCTTAACAATACTAAAGAATAAAGAACTCATAAAAAACTCAAAAATTTTAATTTTTCCATAGAATACGCTGATATTAAAACAGCAAAAAAAAAAATAGTTGAAAATAATTTGGTACTTTTCAGAACACAAAGAAATGTTTTTTCTTTTATCTCTCTCTCTTTTTTTTTTTCTCAAATTTGATGTTACCCAAAAGTAAATGACTAAAAAAATGTCAAATATTTTTTTGTGCTCAAATATGTCTTGAAAAATATATATATATATAGTGTTGAATTTTGACACACGTAAACCCTATTGACACCTCCGCATCATTTTGTTTTATTTTTTGTTTTCTAAACATACAGAGATAATAATCTTCTCTTTTAGCAAAAAAAAAAATAGTAGAGAACGAAAGCTTAAGTTTACATATAAATATTCTTTGGTACAATATTATTGTAATAGTAAATCCTACAAAATTTCTTTTTCATCACTTTCGTCTCATTTTACCAGTGAAAAAATTCAGATGAAATTTGGAGCAAATTTGAAAACTAAATTGATCGGTAGTTTTAGTTGACCGCTAATCAGTTATATCTGTAAGTGTAAAAAACTTTAAGTTGACATTACAAACCTGTAAAAACTTTTTTAAAATTTTAAGTTTCACTTAACTTTGTCTTATCTAAAAAAGAAACGGTTCTTAGAAATTTGTTTCCAGAGACAAAATTAAAATCAATTAGTTGTCTTTCTGTACAAAAAAAGAAAAAAACCATTAACCGTTTTTTTTCTTCTTAGATAATCGACCATTTGAAATGATGTATTTATCTGATAAAAATGTTTTCGCTTTTAAAATGATAATAGATTTTTAATAGGACAAATTTTGTTGTTTTCAAGAAGCATTTTTTTTTTCTGAAAAAAGAAAAATGCTTAGTAAAAGAAGCATTGTTCAGTAAATTACTTTACTAAACGTGTCACACCACTTAAAGCATCCATTAAAGTTGACCAAAAAAAAAAAAATGCATAAAAATTTATGAGTTGTAACAGGTTTTGCTTTCTGTTGATAAATTCATTTTACTTATGCCCTTATCGTCTTCTTAGCAGCAGTATGCAAACTGTAAACTAGATTAATTTTGCAAATTATAGTATCCTCATTGCAAGTAGAATAGTATCTCACTTTTAACAAATTCACAGGTTCAGTTCCTAAAAAAAAAAAAAAACATTTCATTCAAAAACTGAATCAGTTAGTAAGGTGATCTGAAACGCTTCTGAAAAATATTGAAGATTACAGTTTATATAACTATCAGTTCAATTATTTTAAAAAGCAGTTGGTCAACAAAAAACATAACGTACCACTTAAAGTGGTGCTTTTTTATGTGCCTATGTAAAGCTGAACAAAACCGGTCAGTGTTATATCCTTTTTAAAAAGTGTTCGAACCTTTTCTGTTTGCTTCTATTTCTTTCTCGTTCCTCTATTGTATTTTTATTCTAAGCCGTGGCTACGAAAAACTAATATATTGAAGTGATAGGTGGGAAACAGTGGAAACAGTGAGGTGAAAGCAAAAAGGCAAAAGTAGATCAGTTAATGCAGAAAATAGAAGAACAAAAAGTTGAAAAAAAAAGACCAAAAGCGACAAATAACTTAATAAAAACAATTTTCTTTTGTTGATAAAATTATAGTTAAAAGTAGAAATAGGAATAAAGAAATTTTTGTGACGTATAAAAAATCAGCTTGGTCAAAATTTTCTCAACACTGCATCACCAATAACATTTTTGTCTTTATCTTCCCCGTTTATCATAAAATAGGCTTACACTGGTAGATGAAATTTTAGCAAAAATTTAGACGATAAACATCGTTTTGCAACAAATTAATTGATTCTTCATCGTAAAATAGATGTTTATTGTTACAAGAAAACTTGCTAATTAATTTGTAGAAAACTTTAAGAAAGATTGTAAAACAGTTGTGGTTTTTTTTCTTTTTGTTTTATCTGTATTTATGTGTGCGGTAAATTCTGATTCTTTAAGAACTACAAAATTGCTCTAAAAAGCAGTAAGCAAGTAGAAAAGTTATGACGTATAATATGTATCTTTCTTCAAGTTAAAAAAGAAAAAACATATGTGAAGCAAAATGGCATTGAAGATAACTGATAAGCGTCAAAGTTTTAAGTTAATACAATGCTGCCAAATAGACATTGGGCGCTGTAAGTTGATTAGTAAAACTGAAACTGCACCTGGTCCTGTAGCAAAAAAGATGACGAACAAAATCATAAAGACGACAGCAATTACTTGGAAAACACCAGTTGCAATTTCTTGATCCTAAAATTAGCAGTTCTTAATCTTTATCAGTAGCCATATAATTTAAGAATAAAAATAATGTATAGTTGATGAATACAGGCAATGATTTCTGAAATCTGTGTATTAGCAACAGATGAAATTTAAACTTTACTACCGTTTGTATTCTAATACGTTGTCAACGTTGCACAATTGAGCTGTATTGGAAAAATAATCATTTTTGAAGACTGTGATGCATAATAAATCAAAAAAAAAATTTTTTTTTTGCAACATTGACCACATTTCACTGGCAAAAATCTTATTGGATTAAACAGAAAATTTACTCTTGAAGGCTTCTAATACTTGTCATGTTCAAAAATAAAAAATTTAATTTCTTAAGATTCTAATCTCTAATTTTTTATGCATATGTCAAAAAGAGCTTTAAAGTCAGTGTAAAAAAAACTATATTGCCTTGTAGCTTATTTTGAAGTGTAATCGTCAAAAAAAAAAAAAAAAAAACTGACAACCAAAGTTAGTGCTACAACAGCAACAATGGTACATATAGTCATTCCAAGAACTGCAGGTAAGAATAGAGATCGTCTTCCAAACCATCGATGATCCACCTAAAAATCAGTGAACCAATACAAAAAAAGCTGAGTACTGATATTGAATCAAGAAATAAATAGCGACATTTTAACAACTTTACTATAATAAATGAATCATTTTCAGCATTTGATTAAGATAAAATTTTTTTTTTTGTAAATTTATACACATAAGACCTGTACAATTTTATAACCATTGAAATATTGTAAGCAGTATGACTTTTACAGTGATGCTTTAAAATTTAGTCTTTAATTTTGGTTAACCATACCAAAAGTGTTGATACAAACGTCATAACAACATTGGCAAGTGTTACTCCACAGTTGGCTAATGTATTTACAAATCCGGTAAGTCCAGCTGCCAAAAAAATTTCTCCAGAATAGTACATAGCAGCATTAATACCAGAAAATTGTTGCGTAAACTGTAGGAAGCAGGCCAAAAATGCTGACCAACGATATTCATACTTACGCAATTCTAATACACCAACAACTTTAACCTGAAGTAGTTGATAATAAGTTGCTACTTTAGGCACATATATCAGGCAAAAAAAAAGAATGAAAGAAACTACAAACACTACTGTTTGTACTTTTTTTTTTCGCAGATTTCATAAGTAATGTGCAATGTACAATTGTCTTTTTCATATAATTGCAAAACCGACATCTTTCAAAGACGATTGTTGTCGCTTCAGAAAATCAATTTCCGCCTGAACATCATAGTTCTTGTCTCGAAGTTTCCGTAAATCTTTAAACGCTTGTTCTTCATCATTTTTAAAGCACAATGTATACTGTGGAGATTCAGGGCAGAAGAAAGTGAGTATAAATTGAATAATTATTGGTATGAAGGTTATAGCTGCAAAAATTCCAAACTAATTTCTATATCTTTGTTGAAAAGTAAAAATAACCAAACAGTTAAAGTATGTGATTAAAGAAAAAAAAAATCCAAGTTGAAAAACCTTTTTTTCTAATATATATTTATATAACGTATATCTCTTTTTTTGTTAAAACGCTTTTAAAAAATTCTGTTGTGTCAAAAAAAATTTGTTTTGTTTTAACTGTTTACTGTAAACAGTTACAGAGTTTTAGTAGTGACTAAAAAATTTTATGCAATTATCTACTTTTTGATGAATAACCTTTTGTACTGCTGAAACAAAAATCAGTTGTTTTCCAGATTTCTGATTAACAATTACAAACTGCTGTAAACGTATCAACTTTTTGCTCATTACAACAACAAAAAATGAAACAAATTTATTGAATAATTTACCAAAAATAATCCACCATAATTTATGAGTGCCAAAAATGAATTCAAACGAAAGAATGTTTGAAATAAGGATTCCAAGGGTGACAAATAACTGATGTGTACTGCCAAGCATACCGCGAAGATTAATTGGTGACAGTTCGGTAATGTATGTTATGCCAGCAGTTGTTGATATTCCTTGAAAATGGCGAGTATCAATTATAATAAAAAAAATAAAACCTACCACTGTTTTTCTTTTGGTACCATTAGTTATATAGCTGAATATGGCCAATAACTAATAATACCGCTAATTTTTTTTATTACTTCTATACAGTAATTTTTGTGTTTTAAATTAATTTTAAATAACTAAAGTTGAACAATAGTTGAACGACTTTGATGATAATAGGTATTTGGAGAAGTGTTTAGCATCACCAACCTGAATTTATGCCAATAAGGAATCGACCAGGAAACAGCAGGTACCAACATTTGCAAAAATATGCTAGCAAAAATAAAACACCAGCTATAACTGCAAAAATCAAATTTATAAACATAGCCATTCGTCTTCCAATTAAGTTGGACAATGGACCACCGATCATACTTCCAAAAACTGCACCAAACGGAAACAGTGATACAATAATAGCCCTGAAAACTGATGCTTAGGCTCATTGTCACCAACAAAGCATTATCAAACACCCAGCTATTAAAAAACAACAATTTTTTCTTACGAAAACGATACGAAAGAAATAAAAATTTGCTCCATGAAACTGCATACCTTTTCTGCTTGTAATTATTTTACAAAAAGTCTATTTTATTAAGCTTTTTTTATTCACAAAAATAGATGAAACTAACCACAGCCATGTTATATCCTCCCAAAAATCGCATTCATATTTGATAAAAAAGGTAACCATCTAAAATTACACTTCTTCTTTTTGCACATAAATGCACAAAAAAAATACAACAAGTTTAAGTGAACGACATAAAACTAAGATTGATTTCACTTGAGTACTTAGGTAGCTACTTTTAAGCTTCTGAAGAGAAATTTTAACCTTTTTTGAAGCTGTAATTTTACAGACATCAGTTTTTATCATTTTATGCACAACAAATTTAGATTTCAGAAATACTGCAACTTTAAAGCTTAAACGAAATTGTTGAAGAAGTGGGGAAATTAAGTTGTAAAGTATACAGGTTTTGATGAGTTGATACAACCAATATGGTATCCAAATTGAAATGAGCCTCCAATAATAATCAAAAGTACCGCCAGTATTAGACGTACAGTGGGTTTACTTTTAAAATTCTGAAATTTATACTAAATTATTCTTTGAATACCTTAAGACAAAAAAAATTTTTCTTTTTTCTAAATAAAAATATGTTTAGAAGTGTTGGTTGTTATTGTTTCCAATAGTGCAGGTTTTTTTTTTTTTCTTTGCTTTTGTTTTTTGTAGGTTAAGATAAGCTTCAGAAATGAGTGTTTGATGTCAGAAATTTTAAAAAGTAGAACAAAATATAACAAAATTTTACATAAATTTAACAGCAAAAAAATAAATTTTCAAACATTCCTTTTTCCTTCTATATAAATTATGTACTCTCATTTAAGTACGCTGTATCACAGATCAGATTCTAAATTGATGTTCAACGGTTGTCGTGAGCTGTCGATAATAAATTTTGCTACAATCAGCTGATTGATATATATTATACAACGTTTGATGCTTCTGCTATTTATCCCTTATATTACGTCAATGTATTTTATTGC